CAAGATTGGCAAACCCCACACTGTTCCGTGCAAGGTGACAGGCCGCTGTGGCTCCGTTTTGGTGTGTCTCATCCCTGCCCCCAGAGGCACTGGCATTGTCTCTGCTCCTGTGCCCAAGAAGCTACTGATGATGGCCGGTATTGATGACTGCTACACATCAGCCAGGGGCTGCGCTGCCACCTTGGGCCACTTTGCCAAGGCTACCTTTGATGCCATCTCCAAGACCTACAGCTATCTGACCCCCGACCTCTGGAAAGAGACTGTGTTTACCAAGCCTCCTTAACAGGAATCACTGATCATCTAGTGAAAACCCACACCAGAGTCTGTGTTCAGAGGACCCAGGCTCCAGCTGTGGCTACCACATAAGGTTTGTTTTTGTTTTTGTTTTTTAATACAAGAAAAATAAAGTGAATTAAGTCTGTTTAAGAAAGAAAGAAAGAAAGAAAGAAAGAAAGAAAGAAAGAAAGAAAGAAAGAAAGAAAGAAAGAAAGAAAGAGCCAGGCATGGTAGTGCATGCCTGTAATCCAGCACTTGGGAGGCAGAGGCAGGCAGATCTCTGTGAGTCTGAGGCCGTCCTGGTCAACACAGTGAGCTCCAGGGCAGCCAAGGCTACACATAAAAACCCTGTCTCAAGAAACAAAAAGAAAGAAAGATACCAGCAAGGATGGAGGAGGGGGCCTCAGCCCAATTGGAGGAGCCATTAACAGAGGATACTGTTGAGAAAGGGGGAGTTGTTTTTCTTTGTGGATATGGATCCTAAGAGCCTACCCATGCCCCAGAAGGTGGCCACGGTAGGGGGCATACAGTCAGCATCAAATGAACTCAGAGAGAAAGTAATAATAAGTACAAAATAGAAATGCGTATTTGGGAGGGAGACAGGTTGGAGATTCCATGTCAAGTTGGAGGTAATAGGGAGCTGATATGATCAAAATACGTCGTCTGTACGTGTGAAATTTTCAAAGGATAAATAAGAATTTGCTTAATTATCTGAACTCCAGAAGGGAAGAGGGAAAGGGTTGAAACTTTCACAAATTTTAATAAAGATGGCAGACACATTCCAAACACGTAGGCATCGCCAGTGAAATAAACCCATGCCGTGCTGCGAACAAACTGTTCACAGTGAGGAGGAAGCCTGTCTCTCAGGAGAATCCCACAGCAAGAAAATGGAACTGTTTATTCTGCGTTATAAGGAAATGTAACTAAGAGGCTGCATATAAGGAATAGAAGGACGGGCCCATCTCTAGAACACTAATGCACATCTGTTTGACTCCCATCTGCAGGACAAACCTTAGGTGCACCCAGCTTGACGTTTCCCTAAATGGGTGTCTTCTCGGGAGTGGATTAAACTACCCTTCACTTTTATTTTGGCCACTGGTGTCACAGCAGGGATGGGTCCTTTGTGCAGTGACGCTGTCCTGTTACAGCTAAGAATTTCGTTCTTTGGTTGAAGTGTTTTCTCTCTGTGTCTCTCTCTGTTTCTCTGTCTCTGTCTCTCTCTTCCTGTCTCTTTCTCTCTCTCTCTCTCTCTCTCTCTCTCTCTCTCTCTCTGGCTTCCCTCTGTGAACTCTTTCTCATCATCATGACAGGAGTGCAGCATCATGTTTGATATGGAAACCTATTGGTTTAGTTTCTCTTTGCTGTGAGGGCTCTCCCTTTTGGACTGAGATGCTGACTCTGTGATTTGACTGTCTGAGCCGGGGCATACTTCCGTGTGTTTTCATTGCATTCTACCTCCGTGCCACAAGCATGTATTTTATTACTTCCTTTCATTTAAAAAAAAATCCAAGAATAATATATTACCAAGTGCAAAATTAGAAATTGTATTAAAGTCAGAAAAGATGGGGAAATAGAGAACTACAGCTTTCTTTTCATTTTTTCTCCTTAAACGTCTGTCTCAATAGTGTCATTTTTAAAGACCAACGATTCATCTCCAAATGTATCTGTGAGTTTTGCACAGTTCTACAGATTTCTTGCATGTATGGGTGTGGGTATGGGTGTGGGTGTTTTTCCTCTCTGTATGACTGTGCTCCGTGTGCGGGCCTGGTGCCAGCGGAGACCAAAAGAGGGCACTGGATCTCCTGGGACTGGAGTTGCAGACTGTTGGGAGCCACCGTGTGGGGGCTGGGAAGCAAAGAAGCACTGGAGAGATGTGAGTCATCTCTCCAGTCCCCTTGTTAATGTGCGTGCATGTTGAGCACATGCCACGTGTGTTGGGGTGATGGCTGAATCCAGAGAGGGAGTCAGGTGTCCTTGGAGCTTGACTTACAGCCAGCTGTGAGCTCCCTGATGGAGGTGTCGGGTATCGAACTCATGTCCTCTGGAAGAACAAAGTGATCTTAACCACTGAGCCATCTCTCCAGCCCTGTGGCACAGGTTCTTAATATTGTTCATCTTTTATTAAGCATGAGATATAATTTTAAACATGATATAAAATAATACATAATAGATATCTAACTATATATATAAAATAAGTTTTTTTTAAAAAAACACACACACACACACACACACACACACACACAGGAGTGAGACCCTTCAGATGTAAAGACTGTGAAAATATATCCAGGCAGTGGTGATGCAGGCCTTTAATCCCAGCATTAGGGAGATAGAGGCAGGCAGAACTCTGTGAGTTCGAGGCCAGCCTGATCTACAGAGTGAGCTCCAGGACAGCCAGAGCTACACAGAGAAACCTTGATTCAAAAAAAAAAAGCAAGAATGTGAGAATCCTAGAGCCCGTGTTCAGTCCTTAGCAAACAGGAGCATTCACGCTGGAGGAAACCTTGCAGATGTTAGGAGTGAAGCAAAAACCTTTACCGCTGTTCAAGCTTTCCAGAACAGCACAGACTCTATACTGGATAGAACCTCTACCAGTGTAAGGAACATGGCATTGCCCTTAATGAAAACATAACCCTGACTTATTCTAACTAACGTGGTCACTGTTTTAAAGTCTCCACATGCCAGCACAGGTGAGGCAGGGAACTGGACTGGAGGGAGACTCCAGCTCTCTCGGTCCTAACCAGGCCATCACGCTGTGGATGACCCCGTGAGTCAGTGTGCCCCCTGAGGTCAGTGCAAGCATTCCCAGAACCCCAGCTCTGAGCCCACAATGCTGCACTGTTCCCCGCAGCCACCAAGCCTAACACGCAGTAGTTCTGTCTCTTGCACAACGTTACGGGTTCAGAAGTCATCTTTGCCCCACATTTCTCCCACACTCATTTTTTAAAAACCCTTCAAATAGCAAGAGGACTCCTGTTGGGTCGGTGCTTGAAGGCTCTAAATATGCACAAAGGCGTCCATCTGCTCAGTCTCTTTCTGTGTCCGCCATTGGGGTAGCCTCTAGTCTCAGTCCGGAAGAGGTTGCTCAGAAGGAAATAAATGTGAAGCAAGGCTTGAAACAAACCCTCCCCTGTGGGGTCATGGCCTTCATGGCATCTCCATTCGAGACCCCTGAACGTCAGAGCAAGGGAAAACAATCCACAGTATTAGCCACCAGTTTCTGTTACTCTGTTAGGGCAGGCCTAGGAAAACAACAGTCACATTCTAGTCCTCCCACCACTCTCTCTGGGCCACCCCACAAGGCAGTTACGGGTGTCGGTGTCCTTCACAGGCTGCTGAGAAATCAGCTCTCTCTAGTGGCCCTGGCTGGCTTCAGCTTTTTCTCCTAGAAACAGTGGAAGGTTGGGGACAGGAGGTAGTGAGATGGTTTAAATGAGAAATGAACCGATAGGCTCAGAGAGTTGGACACTCGCTCTCCACTTGGTGGCGCTGTTTAGGGAGGTTGTGGAGCCTTGCTAGGGTGAAAATGTCACGGCTGTTCGCTCTGCCTCATGCTTTTGACTGAGATGTGAGCTCTCAGCTTTGTAGCGTTACATCTTAACTCTGTTTTAATGGGGTTTTTTGTGCCTCTACCTTCCTTCTCCAACCCTTATCCCTCCTGATACCTTCCAGCACCCCAACACTGGGTAGGAGAGAAAGAAGGTTAGTGGGGAGAGGGAGTGGCATTCTCTTTAGTTACTTCCAGTTGTTTAGGGCCCTCGGGTTCCTTGGGGCAAGTCCAATCTCAGTTGTCAGAATACCTGGTAGTCCAGCTAACCAGTAAACTAGCAAACACAGCAGCAGCCTCTTCCTTCTCCGATCATCCCTCAAAGCTTCTTCCTCAGAAGCCCAAAGAGGCTGTTATCAACTGACAAAGACCACGCCCCTCTCCTCTCTGAGTCACTGAAGGAGGCTGTTATCAGCTGTGGAGAAACTAATGTGGCCCTATGTCCCACGGTTGGGATTAAAACAAAAATGTAACATCACTGGGTTTTAAAGAAAGCAAAATTTCCACTACACAGCTTCCTGTCCCTGCTGCCAGGCCTCAGCACCAGGATGTGTTCCTATTCCTCTCGAACCTTAAACCAAAACAATCACTTTCTTCCGTAAGTCATTTTTATCACATCAAGAGGAAAGCAATGAACACACACGGGTTAATTACTTTGTTCTCTGAATCACCCAGTGAGACTCCATCCTGCTGATCTTGGAACCCTGAAAGCTGGGAGACGGACAATCTCAGCTGCTCGAAGCTCCAGCATTCTCTCCAGCCCCAGCCACGCACAGTCTGGAAGGTCAAATGTCGTTTTGACTTAGTGCAGAAGGCACCTCAGGAAAGCACAGACGAAGGACAATTCACTCGTGTCTCAGCAGTGTCCCTGGGCTCAGGCTAACCCTTTAAAGGCATGAGGACAGGCCAAGCTGCCTGTCGAACCCTCTTTTCAGGCCTAAGACAAAGCCCGAAAGAGGAGAGGGTGGCGGGTGCTGATGTTAAGATGAGACTCCGGCAGAGGGGTGAAAAGCAGCCGGCTGCTTCCATCACCACAACTGCATCCTCTCCAGGGTTCCCTGCCCCCACCCAAGGGTCAGCCCCAGGGCCTTCGGTTCATGCATGGTGCATCTGGCTGAGGCTAAGTCTGGCGCCATCCAAGGGTAGGAGGGAGGAACGTGCCCACATTCCCTGGTAGGTGTCAGGCCCTGCTGGACACAGGAAGGGCCATAAGCTGAGCCTGTGTGAGCTCGGGGCTCTGGGTGAGTTCCGGGAGGGCTGAGAGCTGGCACTCCTCACAGCAGTCGCTGCTGCCGCTGTCTGAGTCTAGAGGAGGGGGCCTGGGAGAGCCCAGGGGGGCCCAGTCCTCCTGGGGCAGGTAGGCAGATGGCTGTCCTTCCAGCTCTAGACAGCCTGCCGGCAGCACACTCTCTGAGCTTGGGGGCTCTGGGAAGCCAGAGCCCATGTACTCCCACTTCAGGCCGGAAAACTGCACAGGGCACGCGGGGCTGCAGGTGAGGGCTGTGATAGCCTCCCAGATGCTGGACTCCGAGCCTCCTGATGGAGTGCTGACACCATCCTGTCTCGGTTGTGGTCCGGCTCTGTGGGCCCCTGCCCAGGTCTGCCTCAGATCAGGGGGCAGGAGGGAAGCTGGGTCAGCATGTTCAGGACTCACTCTGGGAACCTCCGCCTGCACAGCCCAGGCTCTCTCCTCCACTGTGCGCACCCAGAGCCAAGCAATGCCAGTGCCCAAAGCATCCCACCTTCCTCCCGGAGGACCCCGAGTCTCTTCAGACCTCCTCAGCCCAAGGCCACAGGCTTATAGCACCAGGTGCCAAAGAGAAAGGAAAAGATGTGACAGAGGGTGACAGGTGCCAAAGACAAAACAAAACCATGAGAGGATGCTGTCCCAGGTCATCCAGCGGAGCCAGATTCTGGGCACACCCCTTAAATGCAGCTACACACAAAACTAGAGGCCCGTTCTGAAGCACTGTGGAGCAACAGGAGAGCTGACCCTCCCAAAGAATGCTGTCACTCAGCGGGACTAGGAGCCTCCACAAAATGCCCCTGTATCTCGCCATCCACCACTGCTATACACTGACCCATAACACCGCCCGGAAGTACAGGAAAATATGCACCCGTTAGAGCTAGAGCACAAATGTAAGCCTACTTTCTATATAAAAGAGGCTCAGAGCATGAATAAGGACCCCATGGTTGCTCGAGCCCCGCAGTCTAAGCCCAGATTCTGCACCTTCCTGGCAGACTTCTAGGCCATATCTGCCCTGGCAGTGCCACGCTTGACCCCACCTCCCTGAAGTTTCCCCTGCACACACCTGGAAGTCCCCATTGTACACACTGTAGAGAGGATGGAAAAATGCCTCGGGGGAGGGAACATTCTGGGAGAAGGTTCTCTTCACCCTGCAGCCAAAAGAGAAAAGTCAGGGCCAAAGGGACCCAGAGAGAAGCCTTTCCCAAGGCCACATTCCAGAATACCTGAGGTCATTGCCAAAACCAGAGCTCCCTCCTACCTGCCAGATGCCAGCCCCCTGCATCCAAACCTGTCCTCAAGGGGCCCCTGGGCATAGCAACACATGCCTACCATCTCAGCTACCCGGAAGGCTGAGGCACAAAGATCTCATAAGCCCACTTGTTGAAGACCAAAGTGGGCAACACAGTGACACCCTTCAAAATAAATAAATAAATAAATAACGCCTCTGGACAGATCCCGGGACGGGAGCCAATGTGGCTCAGTGTGGCCTTTCTGGTTAGTGGCCTATGTACCCATTTACACCATGGCTTGTGTCCTATACAGACTGATCCCCAATAGTGGGTTCAGAGCCTAAAAGCAACCGTGTGTCTTTAACTCTCAGATGAAGCCAACAGAGCTGTGCCATGAACAGGCAGCTGTGGTTCCCCAGTCACACACATACACACACACACACACACACACACACACACACTAATAAATACAGGTGTACCCCAGTACACTTACACACATGCCCACAATTTATACACACACACACACTCATGCACACACACACACACACACACACACACACATACACTCACACCTACATACGTTGGCCACCTACCTGGGTGACAGCTTGAACAGAAGATGGACAAGGCCAGTCAGCAGAAGAAAGATGGACACAGCAACAAGGATGCTGTCTGACCATCGCCGTGATGGGACCAGGAGGCCTGTGGGCAGAAAGAGTCCACGGTTGTGAGTAGCCACAGTAGCGAGATGTCCCCCTAAGTCCACAGGGCACAAAAGCCAGCATCGGTTCTGTCAGCCGAAGCAGAAAGTGTTAAGACGGGCCTTGCTGTTAGTGTCATATCTGATGTCCCTGCGTTATCTGTACCTCCCCGTTCCCACCTGCCGTATCGCCCGTGCTCATCGCTGCACATAGACAGGATCAGCCCCGTCTCACAAAGCAAGCCCAGGTCTTGTCCAGCCTTAGACAGACACTCCAGCCAGTGTGAAGCCCTGGACACATTTGCTGCTGAGGGTGGCCACTGGCTATGAACGCCTCACACCTCTCAGAAATGAGGGGAGGGCTTCAGCTTGGTGAGGTGGAGGCGGGGCAGGAGGAAGCAAGGACCAGGGACTCTGTCCAGGCCCTGACAAAGCAGCCGCCATGCGGCACCTACCCTGTCTCCATCTCCGGGGAGAGGGAAAGGGCACGGGCTCGCTCCACTCACTCCAGTGGCTCTTAGAATACTCCCCCTCTGCCACGTCATCATAATCCCCCCAAAAAGTCATCTGGACACGCAGTCTGGCCTCGTAGGTGGAACCGGGATTCAGTTCAACGGCTTCAAGGACAAGCCAGGTCACTCCGACAATATGGTCCTTGTGCTGGGCCTGCTGCAGGGTTGGGGGGCATTTGACTGAGTGCAGGGTCCTAAAGAATGGACACACGTGCACCAGCAAACCCAGTCACTCACATTTACACACACCTGCGGGTACATGTACACACTCATCACGTTTCCACACCCGCCCCCAGTGTACACTCACCCATATAAGCACAAACACACTCACACACACTCACATGTAAACACACATGTACAAATAGGCACACTCACATGCTATGTGTTCATAGACACACGTGCAAGCATAGGCTCGTGCGCAGCTAGCACGTGCACGCGCATACATCTAGCTCTGGCCCCTTCTGTTCTCACCAATGGCTCTAGCCAGTCCCAGGAGGGAGAGCCCAGACAGCCACTCCGTGTTACCTCCCAGGCCTCCTCCTGCCTCTTGAAGGCCAGCTCATAGCTGAGGAATGGGCTCAGGGGCTCCAGAGCAAGGCTGATGCTCCAAGTCAGGACACAACGCTCAGCGCTCACATTGCTCTGCAAATCAGAGGGAGGGTCCAGCTTGACTGCAACAAAGAGGGGCCACGTGAGGCTGCAGCTACCACTGTGTCCCTCAGTGTGGCCAGAAGTGGGGACCGAGAGCATTCCCTAGAGGGTCTGGTCAAGGGGACCAGGGGGACCTCAACTGAGGACTACCTCAGGAAAGCCACTCCGGGAAAGATTGGCGCTGACTTCCTTACGCCCCCGCAGCAGGGTAATTTCTGAATCTTGCCTTCCCTTCCCTTCATGATCCGCTGCTGGAAGTTCTTTCTGGTGCCTTCCTGGAGTCACCCCTGCTCTTCCCCCCAGCTGGCCGCATCTTTTCATTCTCTGCCCAAACCCTGGCCCTGCAGCAGCCGTGATGCCCTCCCTTCCAGGGACTGATCTGCATCTTGCTTGGCAAGGATGCTCAGGAGGAGTCAAAGGCCCAGGGCCTCAACCTCATGGCCTAGCGATGAGGCCCCTGCTGGCAGGGCTGCTCCCACTCACCATGTCTCCGGAGCAGGTACTGTGAGTCCACCAGGCTGACCTGCTCCTGCCCCATGACGCAGCGGTGGAAAGTGACGGTGAAGTTGTCAGTCGGCAAGAACACCTCCTCGGGCGGCAGCACCAGGGTACAGGTCCTGTCCCAGAACGTGCACCTGTGCTTGCTGTCCGTCACCTGGTTACTGAGATAGCCCTATATTATTAGCACCGTGGACGCTGCCAACCACGGGAACCCTCTACCTTCCCCCAGTAGGCCTGGCCCTCCGTCCTCACCTGGTAAAGAGGAGCCAGGCCCTGGATTTCTGGCCCAGCTCTGGAGCTGACCAGTGGCAGTCAATCCTGAGGACACCGTTGCTGAAGCAAGTGAATGTCCCAAGCTTCGCCCCTGAGGATAGGGATGACGGGAACACATAGTAGTGCCTCAAGGTAAAGCTGAGGTGGGTGGGAGGATCAGACCAGACAGAGAGGGTCCCAGGGGAAGATGTTGGGGGCAGGAAGAGAGGCTTAGGAATGGCTGGGTTTTGACCATGGTTCCCTGGGCCAGAGCTTTGTGGGATGGGAGAGGGTGGGACACTAGAAGACAGGCGCCAGCAGCGTTCAGGCCCATGTCTTTCCCTGGGGTTTCGCAGGTGATAACTTGTCTCCTGCTCCCCTAACTCTCCATGCAGCCACCTCAGGGAGACGTAGTACCCAGCCCTCACCTCCTCCCTGCTCTGGAACAGAAACTGCCCAGCAGATGCAGGAACAGACACAGGTGTAGATCAGGAGCCAGGAGCGCAGGACCTTTTTCACTGCCTTCTTCTCCAAGGTCCAACCTGCAAAAGATGGAACTGTAGGGCCTGTGCTAGGTGCCCTGGGTGGAGGGGGGGGGTGCTTCCCAGGATTCTGCCCAGCAGGTGCCTTTACTGTGTCCTATGGACAGGACTGGGCACATCTCTCCAGCTTCACTGATTAGCTGAAGTGTAAAAATGCCACTTGACCCAACCAAAGACTGGTGCCGTCAGCATTCAAGGGCTGAAGATCTCGGGCTCAGATCTCCAGGATCCTATGACAGCAGCATGTCCACACTCACCTGCCATCCTCTGTGACTAGGGAAGAGCCTCTCAATGTGTTATTCTAGGTTCTGCCATACCTGACTTTATGACTTGATTCTCTATTTGTCTTTGGGTGGGGGCTGAGGGGATTGACAGAGTCTCTCTGTGTGTCCCTGGCTGTCCTGGAAATCACTATGTAGACCAGGCTGGGCTTGAACTCAGAGATTTCCCCCAGCCTACTTCTTCAGTGCTGGGATGCTGGGATTAAAGGCATGACCCACCACGACCCAGGACTGCCGAGGTTCTGACAACTGTTCCGTGAAAGGCTGTTCATTCACCGTGTGGAAGTGGAGTCACAGAGAGGGCCAGGGCTCCTCTCATGGTCACAGGCTAACCCTCTATGTATTCTCTCCCATGTCACTCCTGAAATAGGCTCATCTCGGAGTTCTGACGCGGGAACACAGGGGAAGATGGAAACAGAGATCAGCTCTTCCCAAACTGCCTGTCATGTCCTGTTCTCAGCTGTCCCACAAAAGGGAACTCCCTGAAAAGAGGGAGGCCCTGAACCCTGGGGAACCAGAAGCTTAGGAAGTGCCTGACTGTGTGCCTCTGCCTGGGCTCTGTCAGTAGAGTCATTTGCATGTACAGATGGCTCACTGATATCCCCGAGCAGGAAGCAGGGCCACCCTGGTTATACAAGCCTGATTAGTGATAAGGAAGAAGGAAACAAACGCAGAGAGACCACAGCACCGTCCTTAACACCGCCCTAGCCCACCTGCCCAAAAGCCCAATGGCACAACCCCAAGACAGACTTCAATTAACTCTAACCCATCACCCAGCAGTCTGCTCCGTCTGTCTGCACCTCTAGACAAACAAACCCATTAAGGCTTTGTCTTCCGCTGAGATAGAGCGTGCATTGTGGGTCACCAAGGCCATGAAAGCTAAGCTCTCCAGGCAGTGTCTGTCTCCTGTTGGGACAATTATCAGCAGAGTAGGGCTCAGACTATCAGCCCACTCCTGGAGTATGTGAAAGCAGGACCCTAGAGTGACAGAACCTTGACGGATCAGCACTGCCACTGCTTCCAGCTGAGAACTGATACAGACCCCAGGGACCACCCTGCCACCACCAGAGGAAATCAGCCCATGGCTTAAGATCAGGGAGAGGAGTGATTTCCCCACCCAATATATCCCCTTCCTAGCTGGGGACAGAGGCAAGTGCACCACAGATGGAAACCGTCCAGATGTAATCCGAAGCCTTGTAGCCATCGCGTGGGCGGAGAGCATTTCCTCTGCTGGGGGTACCTCCGTCTGCACTGGGTGGCTTGGGAAGGGTGGGGTCACTGTCCTCCTAATGATGAGAAAACAGGCACCCAGAGAAACTAGCTTGTGACGCCTGGCCCTTCTGTTTTGGGAAGGGGTTCCACAAACTTTCACTCCATCCATGAACTTTTTGAGAGCAATATGTGACTCCCGCCCAGGGCATGACCCTGAACATCGTAAGCCTCTCTCTCCCCAGAGCTCTACCAGCACAGCTTTGGAGCTATCACGGACAGGAGGACTCCCTTCCTTGACAGACAGACCTAAGGCCAGGTACTCAGCACAGAGGCAGACAGCTGAATACTCGCCGGTCCTTGAAGGAGCTGGGCTGGGTGGGTTCCAACTATCTCACCACAATCCAGACACACCGCACTACAGAACCATGTGAGAACCCGGAGAAACCAACATCTAATTTTGCCTGCATGTGTGTGCCGACAGATAGCTGTGAGCCACCATGTGGGTGCTGGGAACTGAGTCTGGGCCCTCTTCTAGAGCAGCAAGTGCTCTTAACCACTAAACCATCTCTCCATCTTCTCTTTTCTTTTTTCCACAATACTAGGCATGGGCCCCAAGGCTTTCTGCACGGTAGGCATGCACCTACCAATAGAGACATCCCCAGGCCCTCCCTCCTGTCTTAAGAGGGGTAGAGGGACTCCCTAGTCTCTTGACCACCCACAAAGCCCACAGAAATGGAGAAGGATGGAAGGAGGCCACTCTCTAGGTGAACCTTGATCCAGCAGTATCTTCTCTTTGGAGGAAGACACAGCAATGCAGACACCCTGCCCTCCAGGAGCAGCAGGAGCCTGTGGCCTGTGGAAGCTGTGCCAGGAAATGGGGCTGGAGGTGGACACAGGATCCGGCTTCCCTTTGGAAGCCCTGTGGGGCCCTCTTCTAGCACCAGTGAGATAGCCAAGCCTGCTGTGCACAGGGTGTGTGAGGACACTGATGATGCTAATGCAGTAGGGATGCCAAGAGCCGGAAGGATGGGGCCAGCAGACCAGCTGGGTGAGGACCAAGGTGGCAGACTGGAAGGAGCAGAGATGACTAGGCATAGAAGGACGCTCCCCTCCAAAAAAAAAAAAAAAAAAAAAAAGCACCTTCCCACATGCTTCCTGCAGAAAAGGCAACTAGTTGGGTAGGTACCCGTGGCACACATGGCTAGAGAAGAGGCTGGACTCCTAAGTGATCGGTGTACCAGGGAAGGAAAGAGGGTGAGGGTCTGAGCAGCATAGGGAAGCTGAAGGGTTGGGGAGGTAGTGTTCCTCCTGGCACTCTTACTCCCTCCCTCCATCTGGCTTCTTTACCCATCCTGAAGTGCTTGCCCACCTTCTGGCCTAGCTTCCTTGCCTGATGGGATGAGTGCACCCAAGCTCGGCCAGCTCTGTCTCCATCGGCACCTGAACAAGAGGTCCTGGCGACAGGCTCAAGCAGATGCACTGACACTATATACTTGAAGGGTGGTGGGTAGGAGGAAGCGGAGCCCCACCATTCCCACTGCCGTTGTGAGGAAGCTATGCCCTGCCCTGCCCTGCACTAGCAAAGGGCCTCCCGTGCAGCCGCTTGCAGGCAAAACTGACTAAGCCAGTTGGGTAACCTCGTGTGAGGACCCGATAATGTGTGTCTCTTGCACCAGCCCAACTCCTTAACAAAAATGCCCGTACCACCCCCCCTACCAAAGCCACCCTGCCTCCGGCCATATCCATACCTTTTCACCAGAGTGGGTTATAATTCACTCCTAGGAGGCCGAGCCCTGGCCAAGAGTGAGCCCGGGGCCTTGGCGTCCTAGGAAGATCAAGTTGGGGAAGAAAGGGGGAATCCCAGCAAAACAGTTTTTTGATGCCCAGAAACAGAGACTTCTGCTTAACCACGAATGCCTTCCCCTCCCAGCTCCTAACCCCATGGAGCCAACCTTCTAGAATTCCTTCCGAGTATGCTGCCTCCCGGATCCTCTCCTACCACGAAGTTTTCAAAAGATCTGGGGGTTTAGAGGGACTTTACCAACCCTGGGCCTAAGCTGTTAGGTTTGGTTCCCCCACCCCACCCCCAAAAAACCTCAATCATTGAGAAAGCAAAGCTTCTTCCATAATTTGCAACACAGCCTGGCAAACTTGGTGTCCTCCCTCTGTGGATTCAGGGCACAAACACACTGACTTCAAGACCCACTCCCACCGCACCCCACCCTGAACCTTGCAGTTCCTCATTTCATGATGATCTTTGCAAAGATACAATGTCTGGGACATGTTCAAGACCAGGACACTTAACAAGGTCAGGGGAGGGTGATGTCGCCCATGTCACCGGGGGGCACAGTATCTCTCTGCATGGATCTGAGAAGAGAGAGCCCTAAATACAGACTCACCTTCCACGGTGCATCTTCCCGGGGCCATGGAGAGTCTCAGGCAGGCCCAGCCAGGAGGTGACTTGCTGCCAACTGTCCTAGGGTGCACTGCAAAGCCCCTTACCTGATGCACGAGATAAGTGAGGCGAGCCTCCCAGCGGGCTGACACAGGCCACCCACATCTAAAACCACAAGACATCATAGAGCTGCTGTCCTCCACGGAGCTGAGAGGTTCCTGTCGCCACCTGTTGCAAGCCAGAGAACGGGGAGGCGGGATGTCTTCCCTCCCTGACACTGAGTGTCGTCACACAAGGATGGCAGACATTTGTCTAGACAGAGAGTGCACCTTCCTCCCGGGAGGAGCCACGGGAATAGCCCTGGAGGCAAGGACATGGGACAAAGCGGTGATTGAGCACGACCCCTTCTAGGATTTCCCACTTCCAGGTTTTTCTGAGACACAACACTGGCAGTGAGTGTGGGTGCTAAACATAAGCAGAAACTCAGTTGAGAAAAACAAACAAAAATAAATAGATAATAAAGAACACAGAAAGAAAAGAAAACAGCACAACAGGGACTGTGGAACAGGAGCTCCTTACCTCTTCCCAATAGATGCTGTGTGAACACAGACACTTTATTTATTTGTTTATTTATTTATTTATTTATTATCTATTTATTTATTTATGTGAGGAAATGCCTCTCTATTACGTGGCTCTGATTGTCCTGGAACTCCTTATTTGAAGCAGACTGGCCTCAAAACCTAACAGAGCTCCACCAGCCTCTGCCTCCTGAGTGAAAGGTGTGTACCATCACACTCAATTTTAACTGCTTTTTTTTTTTTTCATGTGTATAGCTGTTTCAGCTGAATATATGCCTGTGCACCACGTGTGTTCCTGGTGCCCTCGGAGATCAACCCAAAGAAGTCAGCTCCCTGGTTTCCAGCTGCCAAGTGGGTGCTGGGAATCAAAGCAGATGCTCTGAAGGAGCAGCCGGTGCTTGTAACTGCCGAGCCGTCCCTCCAGCCCAGCCCTGATGCCCTTTCAGCTCAGTGAAGTGACTTCCGTTACCTGACACTGTGCTGTGGGTCTCGAAGGCAGCCACTTTGTGCCCCTAGCTTTTGGTGACACCTTTCAAGGTTGGGGCGTGCAGTGCCTCACACCTTCCATGGCAGTGGGTTCTGCTTCATAACACTACGGAAACACACGGTTCTGAGTGCAGACCCTTCATGAACAGAACCGGTACTTCACTTTTTAAAAAGTGCTACAGGTTTAGCATTTTTTATTCTGTGTTTGGAGAACAGGTCTTATTATGTAGCCTATGCTGACCTTGAACTTTTGGTCTCAAATAATCTTCCAACATCAGCCTCCAGAGTTGCCTTCTTTTTCCTTCTTTAAACATTATTTACTTACCGTGTTTGCGAATCTGTGTGTAGGCGCGCGCATGCGTGCGCATGCTCTGCGCTGCACGCGTGGAGGTCAGAGAACAATTTGTGAGGCTCCATTCTCTCCTGCCCCATGTGGATCCCAGGGATCAGGTTCAGGCTGCCATGCCTGGCAGCAAGCACCTTTACCCACTGAACATCTCCCAGCGACCCTGACTTTTTTTTTTTTTCCTCTGAAAGTATTTTGTGGGTTGACTGGTGGGTCTGTTTCATAACTGTGTGATCCAGGCTACTCCAGGACTCAAATTCCCCTGCCTCTGCTTCCCAAATGCTGCGGTTACAGATGTGTGCCGCCATACCGGACCAGTGGATGTTTTCACTTTCACTCTTATGTTACATGTGTTTGTGGGGGAGGGTGCTATCTCACCAGCCTAGCGCATTAAAATTTTGTGGTCCTGCCATGCATATCCACACCAAGAGTAATCGGAGATGAGCCAGGAGAAAGGCTGCTGCCCAGGAGGACTGATGCACCCATAAGCATTTATGCCAGTTTATACACACACACACACACACACACACACACACACACACACACACACCAGGGCTGGCACATGAAACAAAAATTTAAAAATTGTAATTTTAAAAAATTGACTGCTCCACCTTCTGTTGTCGATGTTGCTGTGAGAAGCACCTAGCCTGACCAGCTCAGCTAGGTGAAAACCTCGCCAGGTTTGTTGCAAGCTGCTTTATGGCAACCAGGACGAGGTACAGGCTGGGCAAGTGCTCTGCCACTGAGCTACCCTGCCAGCCTTCGTTATCAGCCATTCATCTTTGCAAGGCTGATAAGCAAAGATATTTCAGTGTTGTTTTTATTTTGTACTTCCTTGATACTGAATCAAATGAAGCACCTTCTCATGAATTTATTTACCACTGTATGCTCTTTGGGGACCAAAGCAGGTCACATATCAGGGTATTTATAGCTGAGTGTACATATGTGTGAGCACCTGTTTACTTGTATGTGTGACATGTCGTAAAACCTTGAAAGACATTTGGATAAGACGGAGACGATACTTTCTGAAGTCTGAGACTCCAGGCCTTGTGGAGAGACGGAGCCAAAGGCTTCAGTGACAACCAGCTCCACGGTTGCCAGAGGACAAACATTTTCTTCAATGTCTAATCTTCATCAGATGTGTTGTCCCCAACACATGTTACAAACACAGGCTTTCTGTTTCCTTGAGGCATCCTTCTCTGGTATCCTGTAAGAACTGCCCTCTTTTTCCATCTCCAACCTTTTAAGCCAGAATTTACTGCCTTAAGATAGCAGACCCCTGGGTATTGGTGCCTTGGGCACATATGCTGTGCGTGCATGCCAGACACACACACACAGGACAGCAGACCATGCCATCCATACAGTCACCCCAGTAGTGAAGACCGCATGGTCTACACGGGTTATGCAAGAAGGAAATCCGAGGGGGGAAAAAAAAGTCAGAGAAGGGAGCCCAAAATTCTGCAGCTAGCTCTACTAAATGTCTGAATGTCCCTGGACTAAAAGTGAGCAAGCCAACAAACTCCCAGCAGCCCGGCCAGAGAAAACAGCCCAGAGAGGCTTCAGCTGCTCCCAACTCAAGGACGAAGTTTTCAGCCTTCAAAACTATGAACAGGCCTGGAGAGATGGCTCAGTGGTTAAGAGCACTGTCTGCTCTTCCAGAGGTTCTGACTTCAATTCCCAACAACCACATGGTGGCTCACAATCATCTATACTGGAATCTGATGCCCTCTTCTGGAGTGCAAGTGACCTACAGATAGAGCATTCATATATGTAAAATAATTCTTTACGTATTCATGCCTGTAACGCTAGCATGTGGGAGCCAGACTCCAGAGTCTCAGTCAGTGCAGTATCATTCCCCTCCACATAGTGAGTTTATGGCCAGCCCAGGCTACATGAGACTCTGTCCCAAAACTAAGAAGGAAGGGGTTGAGAAAAATAAATCATACATGAAGCACTAGCTAAAATAGACCTTCTTGAGTTTTGATCTAAACCTTCTGTGAGGAATACATTTGTTGTTGTTTTTACTAATTATTATTATTATCATCATTATCATCACTGGTTTGTTCCTTCTTGAAACCTCAATACTTAGAGGAATGAGCAAAGTCATTTGCGCCCTCGATTTGTTGATCAAATGAATCTGTATCATGTCTTCATCTCCTTCATTTCCTCTTCTACTGTCCATTGCCTGATACATAATGGAATTTTTATGTTAAAAAGACGCATGCCTATCTGTATCACCCAGTGACTCTAGAAGAACAGAACCAACAGAACTGATACACATTGAAGGGGGATGGATTGGTCTCCCCAATGCAGTCGAGTGTTCCAACAACGGCTGCCTCCACCCTGGAGAGGCTGAGAACCTGAGAGGTGCTCAGTGGTCAAGGCTGGGTGCCTTGGCAGTTCTAAGCTGGTGATAAAGACCATGAGAATTCCTGGAGAACCACTTATCTTCAGTCTGTGTTGGAAGCTGAAGAAGCTGGCTTCCAGTGTCAGGGGAGGAGCGCAGGAGCAGTGAGAGCAACAGAGTAGACAAACTCACCGGCAAAGCACAGAAGCAAGTGGGTGAAAGGCAAAATCTTTCCTCTCAGACAGCTTTATGTTAATAGCTAAGCTGCCACCAGAAGGTGTGGCTCAGTCTTCCCGTTTCAATTAATGTAATCAAGAAAATCTCAGATACCAGAATGGCAAAGTAGTTAAGGTATCAGACTTAAGCAAATCCATCACAGGCATGCCCAGAGGTTGACCCAATCAAAATAATCCCTCAGAGATACACCAGATACTGGTCTCCTGGCTGATTCTCTGTCCAGTTAAGTTAGCAATCAATATTAATCATTGACAAGTTCACCCCTTGTCAATTTGACACCCACACACATATCCTTACGTCATGCTTAATTTCCAAGTGAAGACAAGTTCACAATTGTTGTAACCCGCTTAAACTCTATAGTCCCTCCGTTGAGACCTATTTCAGTTCTTAGAATAACTGTCGCTTCTCTGTTTACACCTGCTGTCACCTTAAGCATATCAGAAGCCATTTTGCCTCCAAGTCTTCATTTTGACTATAAGGTAAAATTAAGTTCAAGTTCTCAGGCCCTACATGCCTGAGAACAAGGTATAGTTCAATTCTTGCTGCTTAGAATAAAACAATACATGATACATTCACGTTCTACTTGAGTTAAAGATAAATGTGTGTTCTATTAGAGTTAAGACCACATTACCAGATGCTGTGCATGCCTGTAATTCCAGCACTTGGAGAGGCAGAGGCAGGCAGATCTCTGTGAGTTCAAGGCCAACCTGGTCTACAAAGCGAGTCCAGAACAGCCAAGACTACACAGAGAAACCCTGTCTCAAAAGAACAAAAACAAAAACAAAAAAAAAAGCCAAAACATCCTGCTATGTTCCTTTCTACCAAAACAGTAGGGAACTGGAAAGTCCCCAAGCCTATATCCCAGCCAATCAGCTTAAAGTGCTTTGTCTAGCAACCGAGATTCAAAATGTTTAGCTAGTCAAAACGATGCAATGCTGCCCTCCTTGATTCCTGTGCCTGTTCACCTGGTTACGGTTTTTCATATTAAAAAAAAACCTGCCTTAGGAAGTGACCAACTTCACAGTCTGGCTCCTGAGACTGTGCCCCTGACCGGTCAATTTCTGTTCAGCATTCAATAAACTTGACCATCAGTCTGAGTCTGGTGTTTGAGTGGTCAGTGTGCTGTTATTTGTGAACCCATAACACAATAACTCTTCCAGTATAGTCATAAACACACTCCTCTACCCTTAAAATAGGTCAGAGTGCCTTTAATGCTTAGTCTTTTAGAGCCCCAAAAGGCAAGCCTAGCGATAAATATTTACAAGCCTTAGTAACTGATATTGACTCTGCTTCACAAATATGTGTGGATGTGGAGCTATGGAGATACAGATATAGATATGAGGTAGGATGGACGGACATGGAAATAATGGCGGCCTAGAAAGGAAAACATGGAAAAGGAAAGAGACCAATCATCTTGAGATCTGCCTTGCCTTTTCTGCTGGTAAAGTTAGAAAACTTGACACAAATAATAAAGCCAAAAATTGCCTGAAAAAGTACATTTGAGAGAAGACATCTCAAACAAAAATGAACTGTGCTTTCTTAGGGCCAAATTAATCTGCTCCATAGACTTTCTGTTTGTTTCCTTTCTCACTGTGTAACCCGTTTGTGTTACTTTCTTTTTTATCTCTGCTGTGCAACTCTGGTGGGCTTTGAACGGTTCTTAATGCCTCAGTCTCTACAAGTGCACAACAGGCCCGGCACAAGGGATGGAGTTTTAAACAAGGTAACCATCATTAGAGAGAGAGAGAGAGAGAGAGAGAGAGAGAGAGAGAGAGAAGAGAGATGGCTCAGCAGTTAGCTCTGGCTGCTCTTCCAGTGGACCTAGGTTCAATTCCTAGCCCCACCCCCCTCCCCATGATGGTTCACAACCGTCTGTAACTCCAGTCCTGGGGGAACTGACACCGTCTTTTGACCTCTGTGGGCACTGCACACTCATAGTGTCCCAAAGAAATACATGCAGGTAAAACACCCATGCACAGTAAGATTTTAAAAAATGAGACGAATGACTAAAGCTATCCAAGAGAAAGTGACGGGGCAAAAAGAAAAAGCCCTCATCGATGCCTGCACGCCAGGGTAAGAGCAGTGGTTACAGGAACTGATGGTGTAAAGGAAGAACACGAGTAACGGAGATCAGCCCACGGCACGGCCGCTCTGCACGGCGGGAACTGAGACCTGGCAAGGGGAATCAGCACAGCAGCGGCAACAGCTGGCTCCAGGCAGGAGACGCCCACCTCCCAGCGTCGCCTTGTGGGTGATGCTGTGCATGGGGAGCAGTGTCTCGCGCGAGGCAATCACAGCGTTGGCCTTCCCTGAGCGCAAGCAGCTCCCGCCATCCGCACCACGGCGGTGACCTACCCTATCCGGCCAACAGCCTGCAGTCTGCCCCCTCCCAGCCTCCCCCGCGGACTCGCTCATCTCATTGGTTACTAACATCACGCAGCGCACCAGTGGCTGAGCGGCCTCGCCTGGGCGGGGCCCAGTCGCTGCGCACGCGCCTTCTGCCTTCCTTGGAAGGCAGATCCGGCCGGAGGAGTGCGGGAAAAGCAAGATTCGACAGGTAGCTGGCAGCCCTGGAGGACCCGGAGACTGAGTGTCGGCCGGAGGTGCCTGAGGACGATGAGGATGATGAGGAGACATTGCCGCATTCCGAGGCTGTGGACGTGTTCCAGGAAGGTCTCGCCATGGTGGTGCAAGACCCGCTGCTCTGCGACCTTCCCATCCAGGTGCGCGACAGGGCTCTGCGGTGTAGGTGGGCGCTCGAGGCCCCAACAGCGAAATACGCTTCTGCGCATAAGCGGGAAGCTTAGGATGAGGAGCCCCAAAACACTCCCTCTCGGGCGTGAAAAGTTAGGATTGAACAAATACTAAGATTTTAACTGAAGATCAGCGTGACTAGTCTTTTCCATTTGCCTCAAGCTTCAGTGTGCGTGGGTGTAGTCTTTCTTTAATGTTTTTTTTTTTAACCTTGCCAATCAGTGGTGTTTTTATTGAACATCTGTGTGCGCATGGAACTGGAGACCAAACCTGTAGCCTTTCGAGTGCTAAATACGTGCTTCATCACGCAGTTAAACCACTTTCTCAATTTTCTCAAACTTCCCTCAGTGTTTTATTAAAACATGTCTTGTGTGACCGGGCGTGATGGCACACACCTTTAATCTCAGGGGGCTGAGGCAAGACCAGCCAGGGTAACATAGTGAGGCCCCGCCTCAAAACAAACAAAAAACATTTTATCATCACTGGGGTTTGGTAGCTGATAAATTTTGCACCCTGCCCTGCCTCAACCTAATCCTGAGGCCCTGGCCTGGAGCCTCTTGATATAGGAGTCTCAGAATTGCCAGGGCCAGTGTTCTTCTCCTGTGCAGCCCCACCTCTCTGCCTATTCCTTTGCTCCCTTGGGGGACTTTTTAATTGGAAATTCTAACGTAGTAGGCAAGAACCCCTCAGCTTTGCCCTTCAAAATACAGAACAGCACATCCGGGGCACTGTCAGCTTGGTTTCCTTTGTTATTGTTGGGCTGTTAAAAGAGTTGGCATCACCACCACCCTTTGGTCTTTCCTAGGTTACTTTAGAAGAGGTCAACTCCCAGATCGCACTGGAATATGGCCAAGCAATGACTGTCCGAGTATGCAAGATGGATGGAGAGGTAATGCGTAAGTACCATTGTCTTAGTTACTTTTCTCTTGCCGTAAAGAGATGCTGCGATCGGGGCAACTTATAAAAGAAATGTTTGGGGGAGCTTATGGTTCCTGAGGGCTAGGGTCCATGACCATCATGGCTAGAGACAAAGTAAATGTTTGTTGGGGATTACAGTTCCAGAGGGCTAGGGTCTATGACAGTCATGTCAGGGAGCATGCTGGCAGGCAGGCCAACATGGTCCTGGAGCAGTAGCTGAGAGCTTACATCCAGATCCACAGGCATGAGACAGAAGGAGATCTAATTGCAGTGGTATGGGTTTTTGAGACCTCAAAGCTTACCCCTAGTGACACACCTCTTCTAATAAGGCCACACCTCCTAATCCTTCCCAAACAGTTCCACCAAGGACCAAACATTCAAGGATATGAGCCTGTGGGGCTCATTCAAGCCACAACCATCCTTCTCTTTTTTTAAAGTAACTTATTTCATTTTATCTTATGTGCATTAGTATGAATGTGTCCGATGCCTTGGAAATGGACAGTTGTAAGCTGCCATGTAGGTGCTGGGAATTGAACTCGGGGTCCTTTGGAAGAGCAGGCAGTGCTCTTAACCACTGAGCCATCTCTCCAGCCCCCATCCTTCTCTCTTTTAAGTCTGAGCTTTCACATCAGCAAGGTATCATCAGAGAGCTAGTCAGCGAGAAACTCATACCATGCCTGGCTCTGCTGGGACAGCCACACAGCCACCCTGCCCAGCAGAGCAGAGCCCTGGATTTCCCCCACATTGCCTGGGGCTTTGTGTGTGGATACCCACATGGATCTTCTCCCATGTGTGCCCATGGCTACAGCTGTGGTCGTCGTCCAGAACGCCACGGTCCTGGACCTGAAGAAGGCTATCCAGAGGTACGTGCAGCTCAAGCAGGAGCGGGAAGGAGGCATTCAGCACATCAGCTGGTGAGTGAGGCAGGGTGCTTTCTCCATGTCACCCCCGGGGTCGTGCGGGGCTCTGGGGAAGCGACTTTCAGCTCCTCGTGTTGACACCACCGGTGCTCCAGGACCGAGTAATGATGCTGTCGTGAGAGCCTTCAGGCTGGGCAATTCTGTGTTGGAGAGCCCTGCCCCAGTTGTCCTTTCTACGAATACCCTCTCACTGACGTCACCCTGCCCACACTGCTGCGTAGCTTCACCTGGAAACACCTGGCACCTTAATGTTTCCCCAATTATAGATGGTGTGTACCTGCCAGAGGCCCCTTCCCACCTCCTCAGTTTGCTGGAGCTTTTGGTCCTGGTTCGTTCTTTGGATCCAGTATCCTGTTACCTGAAATCTCTTAGTATTGTCCCCTCTTTCAATAGCAAGATGTGTTCGGCACTTCCTGCAACTGCCTTGGGCCTGCCACAATCGTCGTGCAGGGAGAATGTGCAGAAGGGGAACAGAGCTCTCCGAGAGCCACAGGCTGCATTCCTGTCACCCCTGCTGCTCCCGTCACCTGAGTCCCCTCCTTGCAGGTCCTACGTGTGGCGGACATACCACCTGATCTCGGCTGGGGAGAAGCTCACAGAGGACAGGAAGAAGCTCAGAGAGTAAGTCTACATCCTGAGCTGTAGATCTGTGGCCCGTCGGCGCCCCGTGCTGCACCAGAGCGCTGTGGGGAGAGGGTCCTTGGCCGGACTGACCGTTTGGTGGGCATTTCCTAAAGGCAGAGAAGCAGCCCTGCTGTACTCACAGCAGCCTGTTATGGCCATCCTCACTTGATTGTCCTCGATCCCTCCTCAGCCCGATGACCCTTCTTTTAGGTCAGGCACTGTCACCTTTCTATGTTTTTCAGTTATGGCATCCGGAATCGAGATGAGGTTTCCTTTATCAAGAAGCTCAGGCAGAAGTGAACCCCAGACGGTGATGTAACCTACAATCTAACCTACGGCAGCAAGATGCCGCCCTCCACTTATCCTCACAGGATGGGGTGTTGGGGGTAGCTGCGTCGCTGGAATGCCCAGATGGAGCTCGAGCAAGCCCTGGGACTCTCAGGACACAGAAAATTCTTCTCCCTTGTATTGTCTATGTGGCTGTGGGCCTGGCCTACAGAATAAACCTGTTGCTTTGTATCTTGTAAATATCAGAAAGCAGTAGTACTCCGTGTGGGTGAGATGCATCTGGCCCACATCAGAGGGAGGGGAGGGCAGAGGCTGGTGTTGAGGAGCCCTGAAGTCATCCCTGGGACCACACTACTCACCCCTCTTGCCATGGCCTCACAGCAAGGAGGAAACACAAGCTGGAGACAGCATGGTGAGGAATGAGTTACAGGGGTACAAGATGCTCCCCACTGTGGGGAGCCAGCAGCATACCCCAAGGTCCATGTCCTGACACCGGCTACCCGCCTCCCTGCAACACTTCACAGAGAGGTGAAAGCCGGTGATGTCACTGACTCAGGGCAGTGGTTCTCAACCTTCCCGAGGCTGCGACCCCTTGCAGTGACCCCAACCATGAAATCATATTTTCGTTGAAACCTCGTAACTGTAATTATGCTATTGTTACAAATCGTAATGTAAATATTTTTGGAGACAGGTTTGCCAGAAGGGTCCCATCCCTGCTGACTTAGGGAATTGTGTGTCCAAGGCCTCTCCCCACGACCCCAGCCAGAAATCAGCAAAGCCGTGACAACCCTGGTCAAGTTAGTGGCAGCTAAAACGCTCCCAGTCCATTTATTGGCCACATGAGGTGGTCGTCAGGGGACTAGTTAGAAGGTTATCATGGGAACTCATGTAATAAATGTCCGGCAGTGTAAGGGTTCAACAGGAGCGAGCAAGGCACAAGAGGTCAGTGTTCAGGAAGCACCGTCCATTCTGCCCTGGGAGGCCAGGGCGGCCTAGGGTGTCCCCAGCTGGTTCAGTGGAGCTGGGCGTCCAGTTCATACTTCTCACAGAACTTGTCGGTGAAAGGGATGCAGGTGAGAAACTCGCACCATTCACAGCGGACCGGGTAGAAGTAGAAGAGGACCACCAGGCCGGCCAGCAGGCCCAGGAAGACTGCCTGGAACACGATGATCTGGCAGCGCTTGCGGTACAGGTCAAACTTGCCAAAGCTGATGTACGGCAGGAAGGCGAAGGACAGGAAGAGGCCGCTGACGAAGCCGGAGATGTGAGCGAAGTTGTCGATCCAGGGCAGCAGCCCAAAGGCAAAGAGGAAGAGCACCACGGCCAGGAGCTTGAAGAAGGCCCGCCAGGGCCGGGCCAGGATCTGCCAGCTCTGGAACAGCTCCACGAACAGGCAGGCCAGGATACCAAACTGCGAGCCGGCTGGACCTACCTGGTGATGGGGGTTGGAGGCTGTGAGCTGGTGGAGCCGCACCGCCTCCCCACCCCCACCCCAGTGAGATGGGGTCATGCCAGCCGCGGGCACACTCACAGGCTCCCCGCCCTGGGAAGCCATCTCACCTCTGCCCGGTATGGCAGGAAGATGGCACTTGCTAGATTGCCGGTGACCCCGCTCAGCAGGTAGATGATGGCTATGCGGTGCCAGCCTGCCAGCTTCTCCAGGTCCCGCAGGACTGTCATCTGGAAGCAGACGGATACCAAACAATGCAGGATCCTGTGGGCAGTGAGGGGCGCTCAGCAGAGAAGGTGGCTTCTCTTTCGCCTCGAGCCGGCCGCTCCTGGGGAATGAGGCCACCCGCCCGGACCCCCGGTCCCACTTGCCCAGCGTGCAGGAAGAGGGACAGCCACAGGCGGTAGAACTGGTCAGGCACCTCAGGGTTGAGGAAGGGCAGGAGGCCACAGACGTCGTCCATGCAGTGCACCTGCGCAGAGCGGTCGGGTCAGCCTTCACGGTGGGCGGGGAGGGGTGGGGAGGGGCGTGGCCCCCGAGGCCTACCTGAGAGCAGAGCGTGGCCTCCTCGTGGAAGTAACCCCTCATGAAGTCGCAGTACTCCCGGGAGGTGATCTCACACCTAGAGGGTCACGCCAGGGGTTGGAGGCTGCTCAGCCTTGTAGACGGAGGCTGCTCAGGTCCTACGGGTGCCGCACGCTACCCACGCCAGATTTCAGTCCCACCCACGTTCACCGGCCCAGTCTCACTCCCTGTTGCTGGAATCAGGTTATGGCAGGCTTTGGTGAGGGGGAAGAGCGCGGCCGGAAGCCAGCTGCACGTGCGCACCCACCTGCCTTTGGTGCCGATGCAGCAGGGCCGGCCTGTTATGACGCAGTCCATGTGGGGGTGGTTAGTGTGGTTCCCGGCACTGTTTTTGGTGCAGATCTGGGTAAGAAAGAAAAACAAGTATGTCAGGATCGTTTGACACACACACACACACACACACACACACCTCTTGGCCTAATACCCTTATTGGGAACCAAGACAAAGGTAAGACTCAGATGGAAACCAGCCCTCCCGTGACCCAAGTAGGTCACACCCAGAGTCTGAGCTGAGCCATCTGTAAACTAGAGCGCTACGTGACCTCTCGGGTCTTCACCTAGTGCTCTTGCCCTGACTCCCTGCTCACAGAGGCAAGCTTGTCCGACAGGCTGGGCAAAGGCTAGGGCAACCCCAGCTCACCGGCCACTTGGTGATATCTTCTGGCCACTCGTGGGGATCCTCGGAGGAAGGCTCGTCACACACCCTGTAGGAGCCCAATGGTTAGAGCCCTTGTCCCATGGTGTCGTCACCCTTCTGCTCAAAACAGGGGATCCTCTATACCGGTCAGATAGACAAAGCCAAAGGCATTTTAAGAGGGTAATCAATAGTCCTCACCTGGGGTCCTGGTGGCAGACGGAACCAAACTGTCTCTTGTTGCCTGCAAGGTCTGGGGCGCTGGGATGGATGGGCCACTTCACCCACACTGCCAGCGTAGACTGTGGGGACACAGTCAGCCCTAGTCAGATCCCACCCTCCACTCAGTTCAGAGCAGTGTGCTGGCTCAGCCAGGAATCAAAGGCAAGGCCCGGGGACTGCCTCCTGACTCCACACGGCTGTTCGGTTAAACCCCGGAAACACAGGAAGCAGTATTACAAGGTGCCCAAGGGCATAGCAGAGGCATAGAGACAGTGTCTGTCCTGAAGTGGGGAAATGGCATCAGTTCTAGCACCAAAGTTCCAATGAGGCTTTTGCATTTTTCTTTCTCGTTTTCTTTTGAGACCATCAAAAAAGTAGCCCAGGCTGGCCCGGAACTTAACCATCTGACATCAGCTTTCTAACCACTGGTGGCTTACGGGCCCCACATCATCACGCCCAGCTTTCAATGGGTGGAGGAAAATAAGGCAATAGCTACACGAGAAACGATGCAAGCAGGTGCTGAAAGAGCAGGCCCAGACCAAGACCACGTGAAAGTCAAGTGAGCATCTTCCACGAGAACTGGGAGTGAGGTGCAAGGGTGAGAGGGACCTAGCGAGGCGCCGCGGACTGCCGAGAGCCAGAGCGAGGAGTGGGCAGCGCAGGCAGAGTGGGAGGACACCAACCGAGCACTCCTCCTTTGACGTCTGCACGCAGCCAGACCGGTCATTGCGGACACAGCAAGCCGAGTGCTTTTCGCGCTCCCGGGCAGCAAGGATGAAGCTGTGCACCTGTGGGTCCTGGCGCATGCAGGGTGAAAACTTCGCGCCCAAGTGAATGAGGGCCTCCTGTGAAGAGGGGAAACAGAAGCTGTGCCTCGGCCCAGCCCGGGACCCACGGGGCACCTCCAGGCTCCACCTCCAGCCCGCCCTCACCGAGCTGGGGCCGATCCAGAAGTTCTCCTGCTGGACGTATTTGACGTTCTCATAGACGCCCCGCTTCCGAAGTACCTGGGAGGTAGGGAGTAAGGTCAGAACCAACCTGCGGGGCTCCGTCCTCCCAGAGTCTAGACTCCAGTTGTGCGGGCCCAGGGAGAGCCTCGGGGCCCAGGGAGAGCCTCGGGGCCCAGGGAGAGCCTCGGCGCTCACCGAGTCCACCGTCTCATGCTGTGAGAAGCCCACAGGCGCAATTCCGTAGATGCACACAGCCAGAATGGTGACCAGTGAGTGCACGAAGGTGAGCCAGTAGGTGAAGAAGGGCCTGTGGGACAGAGGTGAGATCAGGAGCGTCTCTGACTCAGACTCCTAATCCCAGCCCGGCCTCTACGGCAAAAAGGCCTACCTGTGGTCATCCATGTCCTCGATCTGCCGCTTGACGTAGCTGTCAATACGTTTCCGGTAGGTGCGGTTGGTGAGCCGTCCCACCATCCCCAGACCGTAGGGCCGCTTCTCCCTGGCGAAGAGCTTGCGCACCGGCACAGCGATTCGCTGACCCCTCCTGGGCCCAGCCGTGCTGACCACCTCCTGGCGGAGCCGCACCTTGGGCTGCGGGGCTAGCGAGCCGCCCTCCTTCTGCTTCCGCCAGCCTCGCTCCAGGGGCCTATAGGGAGCCAACATGTTCACCGCCTGCCTAGAACCTACACACTTGCCTTCCCTCTTGGGCAGAACCAGGGCACTGCTCAGTGGCTCTCCTGCCCTCCTAGGGGTGAAGACACCCAGCGAGTCCTTCCTCTTTACTCTCCTCCTCACCAGCTTGCCCCTGGGAGCTCAAGGCTCAGGCTCTTTATCTCGTCAGTGTTAACTAGGCCACGGTCTTCCTCCCATCTAGACTCTAGGCCCTGGGCTCTGGAATTTCTGTAGGTGGGCATCAAAGTCTAGGGTTGTGCCTACCCCTTGGCCCTCACACCCACAGTGGTCAAGCTGTTATTTTCAGTTCTCCAGTCAGTCCGAGCTATGAGCCTTGTACCTACGGGCCCAGCTGCTCCCCACGGGGCAGATTCACCCTCTGGACGCCTCAACCACCAGCTGTACTCACAGCATCAGGTGGCTTCGCTCAAGCTCACTGCGGTCCAGGGCCCCACCCGTGAGGTCGGCCTGCTCCGGAGCTTTCTCCCAGTCCTTGAGCGCCGCCTCTGATGGGGACTCAAACACCTCATCTGGGTACGTCGACAGCTCCTCATGGAGGACACCTTCCTGAGCAAATACGTGAGGTCAGGGTGGATCCAGAGACAAGGGGGATGGGGCGACACCCCAGGCTCTTCTTACCCGGGCAAAGAAAGATGTATCCAACTCGTCCGGGAAGTCCACCATGTCTTCCTCCAGGAAGCTGGCGGGAGTAAAGCTTCGGC